GAGACGCCCACGCTGGCAGAAGTTCCCATTCGTACTTTCAACCCGTCTCTGCGGCAATACAGCAGAGTGCAGCACAGCATCAAAGGGATTCCCATTAAAATCACTATTGTAAAGCCTCCGCAGAGTGTCCCGCTGACAGATGAATCTGCTGCTGCTCAGACTGAAGAAGTTGCATCTGGAGCCATTAAATGCTGCACCGTGCAGAAAACCTCAGCTCGAGAACATGAGTAATCCTCTAGGATATGCAGGTAAATACATTTGTACCAATAGTATTATTGATATAGAAAAGTGTAGGGTTGATTTTGGGTCTGGTGATCCATTTCTGTTAATCAGTTTTCTCAAAATTTTGAGATAATGTTTGCTTTTAGCTAATTCCACGTGGTTACATTTGTGATGGTAGAACAAACAAGGCCTTTTTCTGGTCTGACTCCCAAATAAGCACAGAGGAACCAGTAGTTGTAATCTTGTAGACAAGATGTTTCTCTTTGCTGGTGTTTTCTGGCTGTGGAATTTCTGTCTTTTATTTATTTATTTTTTTTGGCATTTACCATTCTCTATGTGTCTTTGGCTGCATTTTTTTACTGTATTTTTCTCAGGGGTAAAGCTATGTGAAGAGCAATGTACATAAAGCCTGATGATTTGTTATGTTTTCCATTCATAACTTTAATTCTGTATTCTGTTGTTGTTTCAGGACTCCACTGTATGAAACACTCTCCGTTATCCTGCAGGGAGAAGTACTGGTAATCACACTGGAAACCCAGTAGACTTGTAGACTGCATTATACTGTACAATAAATGACCGATTACAGAACGAATAAAACAGGCCCGTAATATGAACTTGACAGAATGTGTGAATGCTATTTTAGTAGCTTGAGATTTTGAGGAAAACAGAATTCTTCATTGCATAAGCTTGTTGTGTCGATAGCTTGGAGTTGCACTTGAAGTTAATCTAGCTGCTTCATGCTACAAATTGGAAAAGGAAGTAGGATGAACTGAGCTCCTCGCATTTCCTTTTTGATGGGCGTTTTAGAGAGCATGGCAGGTGGCAATCATTTCTGGCATGCATTTGCACTTTTTCTTCTTGGTACTCGGTTGCCTTTTGGTTTCAATTCTTACTGCATGCTGTCTGTGAGCTTCTGCTCTCGCTACACAGATTTAAGATGGATTATGTTCAATACTGAATCTGATCATGAAGCTTTTCTCTAAGGGCAAAGGTCAGCAATCTGAGTAAAGAGAAGGCATGTCTACTGTTCAGAAATTGTACATTTGGAGATTTTTTTTTCTGAAGTTACAAAAAACCTGAATTTTAAACAGTAGCACAATATAATGTAATCTTGGCCTGAACCTCATATCTTAAGTCCTATGTTTTGTAATCATTAATTTTTAGAATGACAGTTGGTATAGTGGGTTTTCCATAATTGCTGTGAATGTAATATTTACTGAAATTAATGCTAAAGGCATTTTTTTGACACCCAGCTGCTACTAAATGAGTTTGAGTAGAATGCTCTTGTGTGCCATGAAATTTATTTCAAATAGTAAAATACAGCATGACACCAGTGAAAGCGTATCATCTTTCAGTGTTTCTCAGATGAAGAATTTATTTAACTGCTTTAGTAAATTATGAACTGTTGTCTTATTGAAATTTACTTTCACATCTGAGCTACGTGTCAGTCTTTTTCAGAGGGTATCAACATCATTTAAGTTAAGTGCGATAATGCATATTTTCTCATGTATTTACAGTTTGATGGAAACACATTGTCTACAACTGAGAAATCTTGCCAGTTGATGCATTTGGACCGCAAACCCAAATAGAAGAACTGTTTCTATTATGTGAAGTTAGTGAAGTTCTTTGACTGAACCAATCCCAATATTTGGCATCTGTGCATTTTCATCTGACTTATCTCTTCTTTATGCTTTGTTTTGCACATCTTCCCACAAATACTTATCAAACATTTGTTTTGTGGTGTTTTATTATCCCTACAGTGATTGAAAAATGTAATATTGTTTGTTTTTCATCTGGAACACACAAGCACTTCGCTTTTGTTCGTACTTTCAAAAATTGTTTTTGGCTAGGAGATGATATTCTTGTGGGATATAAAAAGATTTGTTGCACAGTGTCCTAAATCAAATAGTATTTGTTTTATGTAAGATTTTGTTTCTTATATCAACTAAAAGTTTGGAAAAATAACTGCTATACAGGGTAATCATTTTGTTTGTGATTTAAATATTAATTTGTAATCTGAAACTTGATAAAGTCTCTGTATCTATTAATGTTTTTTTTTTTCTTTTTTCTTGGCCTTTCCAGCCGAAGCTAGTTTTGACTGAAACCTTTTGGATGTACAGAATAGATTGGGAGACAGATGCTGAACTGTGAAAAGTGCTTGTAGCATTTTAAAAATGTAAATTGACTCATGTATATTTATTAATAACTTAAAATCATGTTCTTGAATAATTCCTGTTTGATTTGCACTAAAGGTTTTTTTTTTTTTTTCCAAGCAAGTGTTAAAAATAAATTGAGCGTCAACTGAATATGAGTTGATGTGATTCTCTGTTTAGAAAAAGTTTTTTTTTTTTATGTGGATTACCATCTAATTCAGCTGGGTTCAAAATAGTGTGACATATAACCAAAAGTCAAAATGTACAAGCTACTGATTCTGATTAAATCTTTCATTGAAATTATTGTGTTCAAAATTATATTATTTAGCCGTAGAAATCATTGATGGTGGAAAAAAATACATTATTTAAAGACAAAGACTCAAAAGAATATAGTCCATCTGTCTGTAATTTGAGAGTAAAATGGGTAGTTACTAACAATATTTAGAAGAAAAATGAACATTTGTTGGAGTGGTGAACCTAATCGAAGATGTACAAATATAAATTTCAAAAGCTCTAAAATAAGAAGCAAAAGAGAATGATGTGGAAGAAAACAGGAGATTTAAAAAAAAAGTGCATCCTGCATGTTGTGATTATCTTCCCATTTTAACACAGCTGAATCAAATCATGGTTCATTAGCAGGCCTGAGCAAGACATTGGCATGCTGAGTTGGTGGTTATGCTGCTTCCCAATTGCCAACTTCCCAGTAGGAAAAATCAACTGGAACTCTTTCTGAACTCAGATTTCCCACTGGGAGCAACCCTGGCTACCCCCGGTTAAGACTAAATGTCCACTTTGTGTTTCAATTTTGCCTAGCATTTAGTGGAAACATTTTTTATTTTACAAGACACGCATTGCATGTAGCGCCTACAACTCTGCACTGAACAAACCAGAAATGGTGTCTGCTTGTGGAAAATAAAGCTTAAAATGATCTTTGTATCATGTACAATAAACAATGTCTACGGGCGCCGCCATGTTGAAATTAAATCTTAATTGAAACACCGTTACCTCGGGTAATCTGACTTCCGAGGTAACTGGAACACAGCATGACTACCAAAGAGAGAACTAAAACATGCAGAAAACTGACCCTTGAGGACTTTGGACGTCCAGGTATTAGGATTTCAATTGATTTCACTTATCAGGTTTTTGCTGAACTGCAATGAGGTGTGTCAAAATTGGGAAAACATCCACATGCAAGACATTGTGCCTTGGGGAACAGGGTCGGTGAACACGGACTGAAGACACTTTCATGAAGCCAAATTATTGGGAAGTGATGGCCAACAAAGTTTAACATTTAGAAAAAATACCCCCAAAACATTTGAGTTGAATGTTTGAAACAAACCTTTTGAAAAATGAACAGCCATTCTTCCCATGTAGTAATTACAGATAATGTGAATGTTTAATGTTTTGCTTAAGGTTAGAATTTCCTGTGTCCTCATTGCATTTTCATATACTGAAAAATAAAACAATGTTTTGAATCATACTCACTCTTTAGAAAGATAACTATTGTTAGCGGTATATTTCAACAAAGTACATAAAGGCCAGGTGGGGGCACTGTTTCCTTACACTCTTTTTCCAGTGATAAATAGAAAGACGATATGGTAAGGTACCACTGCTTCTTCACTTAATGCTGGTGTTTGATAAAAGACAAAACAATGGAAGGGAGGCCACTTCAGCTTAACACAGGCGCAACAACAGTTTAACTCTGTCACTCGCTCTCTTGCAAAGCAATTAAGAATCCTGCAACACAGTGGCTTTTTAAAACATGTCTCTTGTTTCCAAAGAGTTAAACATAAAAGGACCATTTTAAAGAGGGAACTGGTTATGCAAGAAACATTGGGTAATGTAAATTTGTGTGAGGACTGCGTAAATTCTGTAAAATGTCAAATTTGTTGCCCGGAGACTGTTTGAAAAATTTGTGTGCACATATTTCCTTTTGATGCCTGAATCGCAGCCCCTGACCTTTGACTGTCCACAAAGATTTATTTACCAAGATTTAGTTGCTTAATATATTTTTTTCTTTGGCTGGCATACTCTGGGACAGAGGTTGAGGTTCTGTTTAAATAAAGAGACATGTTGCATGTGGTGAAAGAGCAAACCAAAATCCCAAATAGCAGCATGAAATGGAAAGCAGCACTTTTTTTTTCCTTACAGAAGACTCGGGATTTTGCTTCATTGGAGAGAAACCTAAATTGTTGTGCAACTAACTTATGCATCATGCACCTTTTCTCATAATCAAAAATGAATTTCTTGCTGTATGAGAAAAAAAATATTTGTGAAAACGCACAAACAAAAAACCCTTTTTAAAACTGGGTGTCTCATTTTGAGTAAGAGGAGTCTCAGGTTTCTCAAATATAGTTTGCAAGAAACAGATTTGTTTTTTACCGCAACATGTTTAATGTAGCATAATGTATACTGCTCTTTTAGATGCAGCATCCAGTAAATAAAATCCAATGTTAGTGAATGGGATGCTTTTCTAAAATACTGGACTGCTAATGCCCACTTGCTGGCCTTTCTAGCCTCTGCATATGTTTACAATTCCACCCGCCACACACGCTTGACTTTGTTCAAACCCACATGAGTAAATATTGCAATGTGGCCTTATCTGACTGGCATAGTATAGATTTGGTTACAGAGAACCTGTGAGAAAAACGGAGAGAGAACCCAGAGTTGTCACATTTGGATCAGATATAGGTATGTTTTTCACTCACTTTGACATGACTTTTCCTCAAAGAACTATTTGTTTTTTAGAACATTTTGAATTCTCAGTAGTTTGCTAGGTTTCATTTTTATGTTTTGTGCTGGATTTATTAATGACTGAATTTGGACTTTCCTCTGTCCAGCTTTACACAACAGACATGCCATGCCGTCACCTTCCTAAAATAATGTCCTAAGTTTTACAGTTCTCTATTCAGATGATAAAAATGAACATTCTTCCTTACATGGAAAAACTTTGCAATGAGGCAATTATTCCTTCGCATATTACCCTGAACATCGATAACCATGGAAAACATGGGCGAAGCAGCATCATCCTGCAAGGATTCTTGTTTTTAGCAGGAACAGGAAGGCTGGTCAGTTTATTGGCAGATGGATTTAACTGAATACAGGGTAGTCTCATTAAAAAAAAAAAAAAAAAAAATATTTGTGTTGTTTTTTCTGCCAGTCTAATAGATAATTCAATTGAAACAAATTGATGGATAAGATTAGAATGATGAAGTGTTTTGCAAGGTGTTGTACCACATTTCATCATTCCGTAAAGATATTGTTCAATCTAATCATAAAAAGACTCTTGAGATATAAAAACTTTCTTCAAGAGTGTTCTGACCTTTTCAAAACCCAAGCATTACATAACGGTTCAAATGCAATTTGTTTGCAATGACATGTAGTTGCCAGAACGTCTTACAGAAAAATCATGTACATTTCGAATGGATCTAAATAGAGAGCAGCACGTAAAATAACTCTGAAGAGTAAAGACTTTAAAACTCCCACACCATGCCTTCACGTAGATAGCTAGCTTCAAAATGCCCTTAGCTGACATGATAGAACAAAGCAGAACGTCCAACATAAGCATTAAATTCACAATGACATGAAAGGAACATCAGTGCTTTCAGTGTGGTGCACATTTAGCAAAGTTAGTTATAACCGTGACTCAAGTTTTTAAGCCTGTCTGACTTCATTGCTTATTTCGGAATAAATGCACCTTAGTTTTCATTAAGTTTAGAGATTAAGTTCAACTCATACTCAACGTCACAAAAGGTTCTGCATGCATTAAGTGCCTAAAGTAATTTTTTTTTAAATTAATGTTGATTTTGAAATTGTTGTGATTGAGTCATAAATGGCACTTTCACAATAGCATAAGGCTAATTCCTTCGAAAGCAGACTGCTGTTGCTGACTGTTTGTCCATTGGTTTGTGCGTTCTCTATTTGCACACGCAGTTAAATCATTAGCAGAGAAGGTAATTTCTGCTTAATTGTAATTGTTCAGCAACATGCAGCACTGTGAGAATGTGGCTAATTGGAAACCAGGCAGTAATGCAAATCAGCTATTACTACAGACAAACTTCTGGGGTTTAAATAAAATATCTTTTTTTTCACGATTCTTTATTACTCAGAGAAGGGAGCACCAAGTGTCAGAGGTGCTGACATATTGCCTTAATTGCCCCATTCCCTTGTGTCACAGCAGTAGCTGTGATAAAATGCAGATGCACCGAACTCAGCAGCAGCAAATGTAGCTGCTTTAATTTACTCTGTGATCTGTCGAAAGGCTTCTGGATTTGTTCTCCCCTCTGGTGGAGCTCAGACTATCTACTCTTCGTATGCGGTTAGTCCTTTCACAAAAAATTATTACAAGGGGGTTTGGACTTTATTTCTTTCTTTTTTTTTTGTAGTTTTTTTTTCTGTTATATCCAAATAACTTAAGAGGTCTGCTTTGTTATTTGAAGTGAGGAAAAGTAGAGACTGGTAAATGCTGAGTTTTGAAGGTTTTGTTGTGACTGTGCTTTAAGAAGGCATTGTGCTCACCAGGTGGCATTTCAGCGGTGCAATTCAGAAGTGTTTGGGCAGGAGGGAGTTGCTGTCTCATTTCTGACACATGAATCTGAGCTGTGCCGATGCTCCTACAGTGACAATCCAGAGCCAGGAGATAGAGGATCTCCCAGAGCTCACAAGCTGAGCTGGAACTTCAAACCGCGATGCTGCATTTGCATGCTAAAAAAACAAAAGCCAAAAACAGCGTAGGATTTTTAGCCTGTGGCGATGTTGAACTCTCCCAGGAAATTATGAAAGGAAGTGAGGACACGAGATCAGTGATGATCTGCAACAAAACAGAACCATCTATCCCCCCAAGTCTGGCGAGAAACCTTTGATCTCCAACTTGTTAATTTCATCATGCTTAAACAATTTTAGGGCTGAATTACAAACAGAAATGCAGTGAGATATAATCATGGTGTGACAATGTCACGTTTATGTGATCTCGTTATAGAAGAGTGCAGAAATAAAGGCAACAAAATACAGTAATTATTAGCGATTACGCAACCACTGTCAAAGGAGTTTGGAAAAAGTGGCATTTTAAAACGTGATCTTTTGTAAATTATTTCTAAGTTGCAGAGTGCACAGGTGCAGTTTTCATTATCTTGGTCAAAATTCTGGGCTGAGCTTCTCTGTGTGAAGCTTGCATATTTACCCAGGCATGTATGGGTGTATTGTTTTGAGCACTTGGCGCTTAAAAAAAACAACAACTCAAAACCCCCGACTGTTAGGTTAATTGCCTCCTATTCTGTCCTGGGTATACCTAGCCTGGCCAGTGTCTTCTTGTACAGTGTCTTCTAAAAAAGTTCTTGCTTCCATAACATTCTGGTCTTTATCTCCTTGACTCGGACTGCATCCAGTAGAGTTTTTAGCAGGCCAATTGGCAAACAGAAGGAGAAGTTATGAACGATAATGTTGATTTTTTGCGCTGTTTTAGAATTATAATCTGCCTGTAGTTTTAGCAATGGCAATGGAGGAAGTGAACAAAGCCATTCATCCTCCTTCTTCGTTGTGGAGGATTGGTTGTTTACATCCCAGGTGTCGAACTGGGGCATTATATGCATCACATGCATCACATGCAAATGTTACCTAATGGGCAAAATTTAAAACCTTAGCACAATCCACGCCTCCAGTAAGCAATCATCTCTCAACAGCTGAGAGCCCAGACCGTCGGTAGGCGCAGTGTAGCAGAAGGAGCTGGTTTTCACCAGGCTAGGTTGTTAACCTGCCTCTCACCCAATGAGGGCTTGAGTTGTGCACCAGTCAGGTGGATGAATTATTTGTCTCTGTAGAAAACCAAAGCATGTTTCTTAAATATTAGTGACTGACTAACACTACCATAGCAGTTCTTCCATCAAAAACAATACTCTGTCAGAGTTTGTGCAACAGAACGATGAAAGAAAACCCTCAACTTTTCTTTTTGACATAAACATGAGCAGAACGGCCTTTGGTAGTTGTTTCGTAAAAGATCACTATTGGACTTGCTTGCATTCTCTCTTTGAAAAGTTGCCTTCGTTTTATTGCCTTTCCACAATACCTTTAGCTATTTAGCTTGATTTTTGATGACTAACCCTCCAAGCAGTTTTCACTGAGTGAAAACGATGAAACCAAGCTGGTAAACCACAGGGAAATTTACTTTATTGGATCTACTGCTTTTTGTCCTCTGCAGTGCCGTTAATGTGGGAGCAGAATAGATGTGGTAACAAGAACATTAATAAAAGATGCAGATCCATTTTTAATGATCCACTGGCCCCTTTACTTTGAAACAGATTTTTGTGTCCATGGTTCAGTTCGTTTGTGCAAAGCACTTGTTTTTTTGTTTTTTTGTTGAGGTATTTGCAAAAGCATATTTTTTTCCTGCTTTAGCAAAATGCTATATTAAACCTTAATGCAGATGAGAATATCTGAAAGAAACAATGAGATCCATTGTCTTCTCTATTTTTGGAAGATAATCCTCACGTTGGGTTGCATTGGAAGAAATTGGGGAAAGAATAGAATAGAGCTTTACTGTCCTGAAGCAAATTTGCAGAGATTCAGCTCTCGGAAAACGATTCTGGATGTGTGCCTCAGTTCAAACTGAGAGAACGCTCCGGTTGTCTTAGGTGCATTTTAAAACAATGTTGTAAACCATTAAGACAGGCTTACAAAGTTTATGAACCTGTTTCAATGTTCTTAATCATGCTTGTTCTCATCTGCATTTCAACTTAAAGGAATGGCTTTAAAAGATGGTGTAAAAACAATCGACTTCCAGTTATTCTTTATCACATTCAAATGTTTTAGATCACCCAACAAATTTGAATTTCATGCAAAGATAATTTGTCAAGCATGTGTCTGATGGAAACTCAAAATCTGTTCTCTAATGGGAAGTCTTTAAAGAGAACATCAAACCATCAGGACTGTGGTTATGCAGTAAGGCTGCGCATATCTGTACCTTCAAAACAACTGAAACTAGTTTGTAGGATATTTATGCGAAAAAGCCCTGCAATGTGGACAAACCAAACCAATTCTGTGAAGACAAGAGTGCCAAAATTTCTCCACAGTGACATAAAAAAACCAAGGGTGGCACGATTACTGGTTTAGGAGGAAATTACTTTTTCACACAGAGCCAGGTTGGTCGGGCCAGCTTTTCTTCCCTCCCTAGAAACTGAAATCATCATTTGGAAACTACTTTTTGCTCCATTACAAATGAAATCTAAAGACGATATCAATAAGGGGGCAACCACTTTTTTCTTTTTCTTTTTTAAGAATCCAGTAGTTTTAGAAAAAGAGAAAACTGGCACCAAAAGGGTCTAACATTGGTAGCTGCGCGCACACACACATTTCCATATATCTACACACACAGTCATCACTGCTCTCACTTTCATCAGAGGGGTAAGAGTCTGTCTTCTCACTGCAGCAGGCATCTCCTTCTCATTGCTCTATCCCTCTCTCTTGCTTTGTTCACGCTGTGCTCTCCATCTGAAGCAGCACCACACTGGAGCTTTAATGAGCAGTCTGAGAGAGCAAGCGCAACACACAGATCTCCTGTCAGCCAGAGAAGAGCGCACAACTCTCAACGGCATCGGAGGCGACGAGACGATCTGCTGATCTGCAGTCAGCTTAGAGGCAACTGAAGAAGCCAAACATCCTCTCTGTGCGAGGCGTAGGAAGAGGTCGTGAAGAGACTTTGGAGGCAAATCGGCTGAGAAAGAGAGAGGGGGCAAAAAAAAAAAAAAGAAAGACTTCTCCGGTGTGGAAAGCTGACCTTCGGTGCACTCCAAAGAAGGAGGATCGACCATGGAGGAGACGCTCACCTGCAGTCGAAGTCCTTTCTCTCAGGTGTTTGGACGCCAGGGTCAGCTGATGCAAGCCAGTAAGTGTTCATACACACTGAACATTTCCAAACATCTTGTGCATTTTGTTTGTTTGAGATTTGCTGCGTGCATGGTCTAAATAGGCTTATAGGTGATCTGGGCATCACTTCTAATTAATTATTGTTCAAGGTAGATTATACCAAGTGGAAATGTTATGCAATGGAGGTATTTAGGGAGGCAACAGTTAAATCTGTCCCACTTTCTCCGAGAAGCATCTTTTCTTCTTTTTCCTTCATTTTTTTTTTTAGAAGCTTTTGATGGATTCATCGCTCAGTACTCCCAACGTTGTTTAATCTTGTCATCATAAAGAACGCAGTTCCACTTCAGCCGTGGTTTCCTCGCACGCTCGGGTTTCATATTTTCTGCTTCAGTTTCAGAGTAACGCAGAGTGACACGTTGATGTGTTAGCGCTGATAGGCTGTGAGAGAGATGTCAGGTGTGAACATGTGTGCGCTGGCGGATGGTGTGCTCGCTTTCTCTCTGACTGAGATCCTTTGATCTCAGCCTGGCTGCACAAGCCACAGGTCTGACATAAAAGCAAACGGGGGAAAAAAACATCACACAGGACATTAAATAGTGGAGTGCAATAATACACCTGTGTGGAGTAATCCAGCTAAATGTATCATCAGTGTTCTTAATGTTCATAGTTTGGGAGGTATCTAATTTATTGGAAGGGGGGTTTGAAGTGTTATTGTAGTTGATAGATCTTAAGATTAAGATGCAGTAGGACTAAAAATTATTCCCATGCAAAAGCGTTCACAGCTTTTAATCTCTTTCACATTACAACCACAAGCCACATCAACGTTTAGTATGATGGAGCACAAAGTGGCACATGTCTCTCTCTCTCTATGTGAAGGAAAAGATGTACAATTTCAAATTTTAGAAGTGTTGCTTTTCTTTGTATTCAGTCCCCCTTAATTAAGAACTCCCTTTTGGTGTAATTAAGTCTTTTGGGATACCAGCTTTTCTCTGTCAGATTGCGTGGCCGTGAACAGCGGGTTTTTCGGTTCTTAGTACAAATTCCTGATTGGATTTACAGTTTGACTAGTCCTGGTTGCTGTTGACATTTGTTTTCCAGCATAAGTCTTCAACTTGCTCTAACAAGGTTTCTCCCAGCGTTTTCATAATTTTAGCTTCTTCCAGCTTCCCATGGACTGTGGTTTGATGCCAGTTTCATGTCTCTGTTGAAGAAACGCACCCATCTCAACATCATAGTGGTGCCACCAACAGGTATTAGGGAAGATAGCAAGTACAGGGCAATGTGGGCTGTTTATACATGTACTTAGCACATAAACATGCTATAATTTTTACTTTATATGCTTGGCATTATGAGATACTCTATTGAAACTTTGAACTTATCAGGTAATGAGTATATTCTTCCATCTCTGTATGCTTTTAGGAATTGACTCGATCATTCTTTATATTTTAAGTTGGAAAAAGGTTTCCTGGGACCACTTTACTACACTAAAATGTACCCCTGGTTGATTTAATGCCAAGTAATATTGTGGTTCTTGGAGGTTTGCTGCAGATTTAAGTGATTACAACCTTGCCTACTCAGCAAGTTCATCTACTGCGGTGCGAAAATGTTTTCCCTTTTCTTAGTCCTATCGAAACACCTTTACAATTTATTTATCAGACGGTGTCAAAATGAGCTAAATCCATGCTGCTTTTTCTTAACGCTCTCATCAATATTTAAAGGCCTTCTTTCAGGCTAATGTTTAGGTTGCAGGAAAACGAAGGCCTTCATTTGGCCTTTCACACCACCGTAAATGGAAAAGAAAATTGAACATCAGCCGTTGATCTTTGCTTTACTGTTTCTGTTTTGCTTGATCACTTAAAGTAAAAGATACATTACGAGGCAAAACTAACTTATTGGTTTTGCATCAAGTACAAAAAGCCATGTGCACAATTTTTGAAAAGCATTTATTTTCACAGAATTTAATGGAGTTCTGTGAAATGTAAGAATGCGGCGTGCTCCTCATGTTGCTTTCAAATATGACACCCAAAGTTTGCAGAGACTTAAACATTCATGCTCTGGAGCATCTTCTCTGCGAGTCTAAGTGAGGAGGATTTAAACTGAAACGCCACTCTCTGCTTCATGAAACTGGCATTACCATTGTATGTGTGGTGCTGAATTACAGTCGCTCCTGCACTACCCCAACTTATCTATGCTCTTTGAAGCTTCTGCGGCATGGCTGCGATTTTTTATTTTTTTTGGGATGTGTGAAACGGGGAGGGAAGAGGAAGGAGAGCAGTGAGAAGAGAGGCAAAAAAAAAGTGAGCGAGCTGCAAAGTGTTTGAATAAGAGATGGATGTTTTATTCTATTTTTAGCAGCTTTTTATGGTGTTACACAGTTGTTAAGAGACTAATCCACAACAGTGCTGAGCCACAACATTAAAAGTTAGAAAAGTAATTATTAGAGGGAGTCTTTTTTTTTTTTTTCTAGATAGCTTTGGCTGTCACCCATGATTGAATCTGAAGTCCCTCACCCAGATGCAAAGTCCTGCTTCAGCCGCGGGGAGAAAATTCATTTAACGAGTGTTGCATATGCCTGAAGACCTGAATATTAACATCCTTCTGGTGGTCTCCTGGCAGAACAAACTCTTGACTAAATTTTTCCTTTCTCATAAAACTTTATTCACGTGGCAAAGCCAGGTGCATAATCCGGCTTCAATTCTCCAAATCCCCACCGGTGGTGTGATTTATTCCACATTTGGCGTTGTGATGCGCTATCAAAAATCCCTCAGCAGCTCCTGGGTGTTGGAAGAGCATTACCTTTGTTGGCTCCAAAGTAGTTGAAGAGCTCAATTAAAGTTAATTTCCCAACGCTGCCTGTGTATTTTTGTGAAGTAAACTCAGTACATGGGGAAGAATGTTTTCTTACAGCAATGCCTTGGTGTAAATTTGTCATAATGTAATAGAAATAACAAAAATTCAGCCTTCTAAGAAACTGTCAACATGTAATTTTAAAAGCTAATTAAAGAGGAACCCTGTTTTTGCAATTGAAAATAATCTCTTATCGCCTGGCTGTGACATTTTCAAACCACCTTCCAGTTTTTTTTTTGTTTTGTTTTTTTATGGCTTACTTAATCTGTTGGCCCAAATTTTAGGCATTAACCTCTTTTAGTTAGAAAATAAATCAGCATGTAATACGATTAATGTCAGACGCTAATTATCTTTCCCTGGCTGTGCTTTTCCCTTTCTGTATCTTTGCGTTTTGGTCGTGTGAAGCTGGTGGAAACAATTACGTAAATTGCTTTCAATTATTTTTGTCTTTCCATTATTCTAAAATAACTCTGTCATAGTGCTTTGGCACAAAAGACTCAGAAGCAGCTGAACTGCTTCTGAGTTCTCAACTATTTATGTTGTTGAAAAAGTTTTGGTTCCTGAAAAATGACTATTTCTTTGACACCACAGTCGAATCAAAAAGTTTATTTCCATAGTGAAATTGTGTTTTTTAGATATTTTTGTTAAGATACATAAAATGATAAATATCAGTAAATTTTTGCCCAAAATCTTTTTACATTTCAACATAACAGAAACCCAAAAGCACCCAATATCATCAACAATTGTTTGGCATCATCCATCTGAAAAAAAATGATCTCACCTGAAGAAAGCTTTCTTAATTGGGGAGACTGGATGATTATGTTGAACCGTGCAAGAAGCTTCTCATACCAAACTTCTTTGATGAAGGCATTTAAAATTGGTGCATTCTCTCGTACACATTCTCAGATTCAAAAATCCGAGGAACTAATCATACAAGTTTTCTTTAAAAGACAGATAAACTCTGTTTCCTCAAATGTCCTCTCAATACCTCAGCAAGCTGCTGGTGAACTGGCGCTCAGGAGGGGTGAGCAAGATTTGAAGTTTTAATGCATGACCACTGCAGGTGTTGGACATATTTTGGTCTTCTTTGAAGTGATTAATTCCTGCCACTTATATTATGGTTCCAGCTCAGATTCCTCACACCTCCTTACCCGGTGGGCTTTCCTGCAGTTAGAGATTAGCTTCACGCTGCTGGTGTTGCTAATCATGTGGAAGAAGTCACGTTGCAGGAACTTTGCTTGTGTAGTTGAACTGCATACTCAGTCTGGTTCCCGGTATCTCATTTGCTATTTATGAGATTCCCATTTTTAGTTTTTTTTCTTTTTTCTTTTTTCTTTTCCCCAGGGGTAAGTTTTCAATGGTTTGTGAATGGAACCAGTTGATTATGATAACTGGTTGTCTGTTCTGTAACAGGATATTTTTTCTCACACATCTGACTTAAATACTGACTTGCATTAAGCTCACATTTTGCATATTATTTAGACAAATTAAGCTTTGTGAGAAAACAATAATTCACACTACTAAGTATCTTTGACTTTGAGATTATAATTCTTGATTGAAAAATGACTTTCATAATTAGGAGACTTTTGACTTGGTGAAACAATTTTTATTTGTAAAACATGTTGCACAATTTGAGAATCATAAAATGCATGAAGTCATTTCATAGAACTTGCTGCTTTTGCTGCATGTCTTGCTGATGAGTATCAGTAAGCAGGCTTTTTTTGTTTTAGTGAATTCTTTATATGGAGTTCAGCTGCTTCCTAATAAGTTCCTATAATTACAGCTAATTTACAGAAATTAGCTAGCAGTCATTAAAAATAACTTTTTCTCCATGTATGGAGTCAACTTTGTTGATTGAAAAGCAGTTAGACAAGGATGAATGCAGATCATCCATCTGCACCAGTTGGCTGAGTTATCTTCACATGAGGTAAAAAAAAACATTGCACTTGCATTAGAAATTTAATCCAATCAAAATCCAACGAATTAGAAAGCTGCCCATTGTGTCCTACCAGCCATAGTTAAAAATCTTGAAGTCTTGCAAAAACGTTTTTATCAGGTTGTTTGCAAGAATATTTTTTTTCTGTCATCTTCTGACAGAAAAAAGAAAAGTCACTGAAATCATTTCCTTGGTGCACCTGGGATGGTCTAAAAATTTTACGTCACCTTTTCCCT